GTTCTTATCAACAGGGCAATCCTGTTAACATTTTCGACTAAAGAGTCTGGAGAAGAGGAAAGAGAAGAGCAGTGGCATAAGGAAAAGCACACAGAGCGGGTAGGAAGGAAGAAGGAAGAAGAGAGAACAATGATCATAAAAAATTCAGCAGTGCTTTGACCTGAAGAAGGCAGAAAGGAAAACAAACTCACAAGTAATTATTTCTCCACTGACTGTCATTTTTAAAGCCAGATTATTGACCCTGAAATATAACCCACAACTGACCTCCACAATGACCAATAGTAACTTCTTATTAGAACTCTACTATTTACATTCACATGTGTGGGGTGTTTACATAATACTGGTAACTGAAATTCAGCTGCACTATCACATTTCTCTCATGTGCCACAGAGCTTCTGTTTTCCACAAACCACAAACATTCAACTGTAGCTATAATTACCACCACCAAGTGCACCTGCTTACGTAAGATGCAAAGATTCCTGACTACAGGCTCCACCAACCTCCCATGTGAACTCCAAATGCTATCCTTTCAAGAATGTCTGGGCACCAAGGCGTGTCTGAAAGGGCACCCTAATTTCCTGGCAATGCTGGGCACCAAGTATTGGGCTAATGGCCTGCCTCTGGTGGGACCTTTCTCAACCTCTCATCTCCTAGAAAGGAGCTGAGGCATTAGACCCAGAAGGTCAGGCCAGAGAGGCTTGCTCCAAGTGTCAATGGCACTGGGGTACAAAGGGTGGTGTCAGAGCAGACCGTTCGGTCCTCCCATGAGAACACACACCTACTCTCTGGCCTGTAGTGGCTGAACAGTGACCCCTCCCCTCCACAAAAGATATGTCCCTGTCTTTATCCATGGAACCTGTCAATGTGAACGGATTTGGAAAAAGTGTCATTGCATATTTACATCTGGATGTTGAGGATATTGAGATGAGATCATCCTGGATTGTAAGGTTGGCCCTGAATTCAATGAGAAGTGTCCTTATATGAGCCTGAAGAGAAGGCCATATGAATAGAGAGGTATTTGTTTGAAGTAGCCACAAGGCAAGGAGTACCTGGAGCCACTGGAAGTTAGAAGAGGTCAGGAAAGTCCCCCTAGAGCAGTGGTTCTCAACCTGTGGGTCGCGACCCCTTTGGGGGTCGAATGACCCTTTCACAGGGGTCGCCTAAGACCATCGGAAAACACATATATAATTACATATTGTTTTTGTGATTAATCACTATGCTTTAATTATGTTCAATTTGTAACAATGAAAATACATCCTGCATATCAGATATTTACATTACGATTCATAACAGTAGCAAAATTACAGTTATGAAGTAGCAACGAAAATAATTTTATGGTTGGGGGTCACCACAACATGAGGAACTGTATTAAAGGGTCGCGGCATTAGGAAGGTTGAGAACCACTGCCCTAGAGCCTTCAGAGGGAACATGGCTCTTGCCAACACCCTGATTTTGCCTGACAGAATAAATTTCTGTTATGAATGAAGAGTAGCAAGATTTGCTACTCTGATATAATGATTATTTTGAGCTGTAAGCAAGTAAAAACAAATTCAGGAAAAGGCTTTCTCAGAACTTCCCTTATCTGCCTAGAGATAAATCTTCCAAAAGGAACTCAATTGTATAAATCACCTCCCAAGAGTTTTATCAACCAAGGAAGACTGAGTCATCTCGGAGGAGACCAGAGATCAACACCACGCCCAGATGAACTTTTTCATAAACTATCATATCTCCCATCTCTTCTTCCAAGGGCCCATTCATCTTTCCTAAAAATTACTCTCCCCCTTCCCTTTTCCCTGTGAAGATGGTATTTAAGCTTGAATTTTAAAATTACCTCTTAGAGTGCTTGTTTTGCTGGGCTATCTCCCATGTACACATGAAGTAAACATGTTAATAAACTTCTGTTTTTCTCTTTAATATTGTTTTACAGAATGTCTCAGGTAAGAACACAGAAGGGTGGAGGGAAAATTGTTTTCCTCCCCTACATAAGCCACCCTGTTTGTGGTAAATGGTGAAGGCAGCCCTAGGAAACTGCTACATGGTCTAACACTGGGCCTGTCCAGCCTCAGCCTCTCAGAACAGCCAGGTCAGGGGTCACCTGGGCCTCCAGGTGCTCCTTCCTGCAGCCCCTGGGAGGTCAGGAGCATGAGGCTGGGAGACATGTCTCCAGCCCTGAGAGAACAGGCCAAGGATGTTTTCCCATGGCCGGGCTCTGGGGCATGGCCAAGAAAGTGTTTGTCTGCCATAGGGCAGAGCCCCACCCAAAGAAACAAGTGGTCTTTGAGGAAAAACAACCCAGCACCTGGTGGACCCTCTGATGAGTGGCTGTCATCGTCAACCACTCCTGCTGACATTGATTCAGGACTTCCCGGGAGCCACACTGTGCTTTCAACAACATGAAGAACTTTGATTTCATCATTCTCTATCTTTTCTTTAAATCACCGTCTCGTACATGGACATGCCTAAAAATAGCCTGCAGTGTTACACCTGAAACGAGATTACACTGTTGGCATGCATCCATGAGAAGTTTGCTCCAGGTCACTCGGCCAGTTGATGGACAAGCCAGAACCATGACTGAGAGCCGAGTCCAGAGCCCATGTCTTCAACCTCATGCCCACACTCTACTCTGACTCCCCTGGGGCCATCAGGTCTGTCCCCTTCTCTCCAGAGTGCTCCCTGCCAGGTGGTCCTGCCTCAGCCCCACTGTGGCAAGGACCACACCTCAGTCACTGCCCAGCCCCTTTTCTCCTGATCACCCCCCCCACACACACACACACACACACACAAACACACTTTATGCAGTTGAATAATTAGGTACATAAAAAATGCGACTAGCTTGGATTAGGGGCTCTGAGAACTCAGTTCAATAGGGGATAGTGACATTTAAGCACACAGTTACATCCTAAAAACTATAAGGGAAAAGAAAAGAGGGAATTCTGGAGGTCCTAAGCCAAATGCCCCGTCCATAGCTAACAGTCCCCCATAAAGGCAAGCAGCTCACATTTAAGCTAGGTCTTGGCATTCTTTTTCAGATGCCACTGCCCTAGGGGAGGCTAACCGCTCTGACTCCAACCTCCTTCTGCTCAAACCCACCCTCCCCTGCGGTTCCAGGAGTCTGTAGGTCAAAGGTTTAGAAACCTTTTCAGTGCTATCTTTTAGGGAAGTACTTTGACAATGTGTTTTAAACATCTTTAAATGTTCCTTCCCTTGAATCACCACTAGTCACAATGATGGATCCCTCATCAGGAAATAATCTTAGATGCAGAAAGCTTCATAGGAAGGATGCTAAGTGTTCATTCTTTACTCAACATGAACACAACTCATGATCCAAAACAAGGGGCTGATTACGTTTGCTGTTTCATTCTCTTGGTTATTACAAGACCAGAAAAATGCTGTTTATGAAAACTTGAAAAATTATTTGCTCTATAATAAATGGGGGAAAGATTGTACTTCTAGCATGATTATAACTATGTCCACTCAAGAAGTAACCTAACCAACGCTTTGGGGGGAGATTTTGTTAGAAAGTAGTCAAAATACTCATTTTTCCTCAGTGGTGGGACTATGGGTGTATTTCTCTTTTACTTTTAAGTTTTTACACTTTTCCTATAATGAATATGTATTACAATTAGAATGGAGGAAAAATAACCTTCATATTAAAAACGAAAACCAAGGCTCCCATAGCTACCCCTGCTTTTTAGAAAAACACAGGCCCCTTCACCAACATGCACTTGCTTCCCTCCAGCCCATGCACCCTCCTTCTGGCCACATGGAGTTCCTTCATATTCCCAGCATCTGCCTTCCACCCTCTACCTCAGTGCTTTCACACACCACTGTGTGCTTGCCTTCTGTCTCCTGCTGGGAGGTGGGCTCCGAGAGGGCATGGCCTTTATCTACCGAGTCACTCCTGTGACCCCAGTGCCCAGCACAGTCTCTGGCGCATCCTAAGGGCTCAATAGGTATTTGTGAGAGGAATAAATAGAGAAGCACTGAAGGCCTGCTCACAGGTAGCCTCTTCCCTAACAGTCTCCCTGGCCACCAGCCCCCTTAGCCCTCTATGCCCCACCAGGAATTACCCATTTACACATGTTTTCTCAGAACACGAAACATACCTGGTCTAATAGAACACGTGCCATGCTACATCTTATTTATTTCTTTACCACATTGGCAACAGCCACACCAGACAAACCATGAACATGTATGCCTGAGAGTTACATGGGCTACCTCACTTTTCCTCACACTAACTTTAGGAGGTAACTACTGTCTTTATCCTCATTTCACAGATGCAGACATTGAGGCTTAAAGAGGTAAAGTCACACATTTAGTTCTCACAGCCAATGAAAAGCAGGGACGTCTGCCTCCTAAACCCAGGCCTTGACAATGCTATGGCGCAGCCAAAAGCCAGTTTCTGTCCATCCTCCGCAGCGGACTGTGCTGCTCTCTGAAAGCTGGCCAGCGCTGGCGCACACGCAGACGTCCCAGTCCTTGCAGGTCTGGAGCACAGGAGAATGGCACTCGTGTGGACTGCATGGATTCACTGTGAGAAGTAACCCTAGACCCACACAGTTGGGAGTGTAAAGGGTCTGCCCAGCAAAGCCAGGGTCATCAAAATAGGTTCGAGTTCGCTCCGTTTGACACATGGCTATGTGAGGAATTTAAGGGTGCAACAGTTGCCAGAGTGCCCCTCAAGCTTTCCAGCAGCACTTAATTATGAAGTGGTATGTTAATTGTTGCTCTTAAATACCCATTAGCATAGATCCCCTAAAACCCTCTACTGGGCAATAATGTCTTAAATGTGTGTCACAGATCACTTTCCAAAAGCTCTTTCAAGCATATCATCTGTCACTCTAGTGCAATTTAGTAGGTATATGCTTTAATATTTTCAAATTTTCCCTAAATTGCTCTAAGCTAGGTGACTTTCCATTATTCCAAACAAATGAAATGTTGTACTGTACTAAAAGAACACTGTAAAGCTTCTCAAAACGACATTTAGGAACTTTACTCACCCCTGGCAATCAAGAGCAGCCCCGTGGAGAGAAAGTTTGTGCCCCGAGTGTTAGCTGGGGCCGTCAGGCAGCGGGCGGACTGTCGTGTTTTCACACTTATTAACAGCTTGTCTGGGATTGCTGCCGGTGAATCTCTAGCAAGGAGACACACACATTAGCAGCTCCTACACGCACCTCTCCTCCTTGGAGCTAATTGCACGGGCGACAAGGGGATATTTATAAGCATTTCTGAGAACACGCGCGTCAGTGGGGGGAATGCAGCATCGGACATAGCATAGATAATTAATGTGCTCAGGAAAAACACAAAAGTGTGGCTCGTAGGAAAATCTACAAGGTATAGAATGTGGGAGGAGACTGAGGTTAGCCCCGTCTTCTGCCCTGGCCGCGGAGCTTTCGCAGCCAGGCCCAAAACCTTGAGCTGCAGATTGAAAGCAGCACGGCTGCCACCGCGGGAAAGGCCGACACTGACCCGCCCGCGGCGATTCCGAGGGCCCTTCCTGCGACCTATCAGAACAGCCGCCCAACCCCACAAGGAAACCAGAAACCAGGGCAGCCTGACTCCTGACAGCATATGACTTTTATCAAATCCGCAGGAGACTGTCTTATCCGGGAAAAAGCCCGCCAGACAAGGTCTCGGTCTGAGTCACCATCTCACCTCCTCCAATGCACGTGGCTAGCGCCTGAGCTTCTGAGGCTCCAGTCCTCATCTGTAAAATAGGACATGTGCCCCCACTGAGGACGTGCACACTTATTTCAAAAAGGCGAAATTAAAACGCTCCTTATGGACTAATTTATTGGCTCAGCGAGCTGGAACTGCACACCTGGCCCTGGGGAATACAGAAAGGAGTAAGGCCAGGCCTCTGCCCGAGGAGGAGACCCACAAACAAATGGCTGCAATAAAATGCGATGCACACGAAGGGTGAAGGGGGGAGGGGAATGCCATCCCAAATGCCCTGGGTGACACTGGTGGGGAAACCCAGAAGGCTTCCAAAGGAAACCAGGTAGAGCTGAGCCAGGGCCTGCCCACCCATGGGGAGGGTGTGGAGCACCCACCCACTGTGCCTAACATGGGAGAAGGGCATCTTGTACGAGAAGCAGTGTGGATGGCGTTCTAACAGAATGGGAGCATTTCAGGAAGGCTAGAAGGGACAGGTGCAGGGGAACAGAGGGGGTGCCGTCAGGGAGGCACCGTCACCTGTGTTATCTCATCCTCACTATCTGCTGGAACATAACAAGTCCCCAGTGAACAGTGAGGGCCACAGCCCACAAGCACCAGGAGTCATCTCCTCGCCGCACATGTATTGCTCTCCTGGCATTCTGAAGTTAAACAACAGATATGGCAGCAAGAGACATGGGGAAAAAAATAAAAAAGCTCAAAATGATTGTAAAATGTTTAATAGACAAAGCTGTAATAAACATTTATCTGATATGGGGCATAAAGAGAAAAATAAAATCAGAACATATAGTTTGTTTAAGAGAATTTCTCGGCCCTAGCTGGATTGGCTCAGTGGATAGAGCGCCAGCCTGTGGACTGAAGGGTCCCAGGTTCGATTCTGATCAAGAGCACATGCCCGGGGTTGCAGGCTTCATCCCCAGTAGGGGGCATGCAGGAGGCAGCCAATCAATGATTCTCTCATCATTGATGTTTCTATCTCTCTCTCCCTTCCCTTTCTCTCTGAAATATATATATATTTCATATATATATTCATATATATATATTTCATATATATATTTCATATATATTTCATATATATATTTCATATATATATATATATATATATATATATATATGGAGTGGAAGTTGCTCTTCATTAAAAAAAAAAAGAAAGAAAGAAAAGACAATTTCTTCAGATCATTGAGGTGTACCTAGTATGTGCCAGGTACTGGGAATTTGAAGATCAATGAGACAGCCTTTAGCCTCAAGGAGCTTGTAAATGAAAACAAAACAAACAAAACAAAAAAAGCATAGCCATCATTTAACAGTGGATGGTAAGAGCTAACAGAGGTGATGATACAGTGGACGAGGTGAACACAGGGTCTCTGTGGCATCTAACAGACACTGGGGACAAGGCAGGAGAGAGGACTTGGGGGAGCTGTCTCAAGGGAAGAGATGCTTAAAGACTGAAAAGAAAGGAGAGAAAAGGGGAAAGATGTGAGGAGGGATGCAGCAGGAGGGAGCAATAGCACAGAATTCCTGAGAGGGGCAGGAACCTGGCACAGGGGAGAAAGCCCTAAGGGCTCGGAAAGACCCAACCAGGGGGGAAGGGGGGTCAGGAATATTGGTGATCAGAAGACTGAGGACAGCAACAGGCCACCAGGCATGGTCACTCAGAATGATGCCCCTCTTGTCTGAGGAGAGACTTTTTATCTAAGCATCTTCCTCTCCTCCATATAAAGTGCCTCCCTCATTAGTGCTTGGAAATGTTGGCCATTGTTACTGGAACGTCAGAACCCAGCAGGCACTTTCCGCTGACTAATGCAGGCAAGAGTAGAGAATTTAGCCACAGGACTCCCTAGCGAACTTTAATGTAAGGTAAACTCACCTGTAAAATGGTCCCCTGGCAGAGACCCTAATTATTCGGAAAAGGCTCTCAGCTCCTCTGGTGCAAGCATTTAAGCGTTGAGGAGAGAGCTGCAGGAAATGCAGACACACCCCTGAGGAGGGGCCTCCGTGGGGTGTGTTACATTCCTTGGAGAACAGGGCCCCTGCTATAATTTGTGTAATCAGCCCAGAGATTGGACTGCAGAACTCTGCTTCCCATTTATTACAATATCACACTCCTGCCCAGGAAACCCCACCCAGGCTTTTGTTTGGAATTCTCTTCCTTGATTAGGTGTAAGCTCTATTATTCCCACCGCTCAGGAATAACACTCGGGTCTGATGAAGCTGAAAAGCACAGCACAGTCAGAACCGACTTCCGAGAATGAGGCTACCCAGTTCTTTTCTCCTCTCTCATTTTAGAAAGCTTTCTTTGTCATTTCCTACTCTGCAGACGAAGAGCGAGAAGCCGGGACATCTTGTACAAATGGAAAGGCAAATCATTTCTGCTCTCTGGTAGGGCCATGCAAGCTGGGGAAACACTGCCCGGGCTGTGCACACAGCCCCTCCCATCTCCTGGCTGAGGCTGGGCACTGGGTTGGCGGGAAGGGGTGAGGGAGGCCTCAGAGCCCTATCTCCCTCCCTAAATCTTTCTAACTGCTACTCTTGGCTGAGCTGCTCCTCACTCTCTGCCTCCTGGCAGGAAAGGCGGTGCAGGGCTCAGATGCTATCTGGCTGCTTTCATTAATGCAATTCAGCTTGAATCCAAACCCAAACAAGAGCTGAGGAGCAGGGCAGAGTTCATCACCCAGAGGGATGGAGGACTCGCACTCCAGAATGACAACCGGAGACAGACTACAGGGAAATATCAAACAGTGAGATTAGCATTAGGAGAAAGGATGAGCCACTTCATTATGTAGCTAATACTCGAGGCAATTGAAGAGACGTGTTTCATGGTCTGTCCAGCTTGAAGAGCAGCCTCGGGTATTGTGGGACCTGCCTCACTCTTCACCTCCACCCCAGTTACCTGAGCAGAAGTGGTGCTTATACCTTGAGGCTGAGTAGCCAACCCACTGTCAGGCCAGGGCTCTAGTGCCTCGCTGGCCTGTTTTGGGCAATGGGATCCTCCCCAGTAACTGAGCCATTCCATTTGATGAAACTCTAGCTGGGAGGTTGAAAATTAGGAGGTCAGAAAGACTAAGGCTAGGGCAGCCACAGAGGCTATAGCAAACTGGTAAGTAATCATGACTGTACAATCATCTGCATAACAAGAAGATAAAGGACACCCCAGGCAGGAACCAGGGACCCAGGCACCCAGGAGAGCTCCTTGAGTATCTCTGTCCAGTCCCCGTGAGCCCTGGGGCCCCTCATTTCCCATCCTGCGATATCCCAAAGACACACAGAAACCTTCCCCATTTCCCACACTGGTGTGAATGGGTTCCCATCACAATCAAAGGCCCTTGCTGAAAATAAGCACCCACTATATGTCAGGGCTGTGACAACAGTACTATGTCAGAGCGGGTGTGGCCGAAGAAACGGGACACTGGATAATCACAGAATAGGACAGCATGGCTGCAAGAAAGTGCTGGTGCTGTAATACATAGGATCTGGCAAATAACGGAGATCACAGCACACTACAGGTCAGATTTGCCCCAGCGAGCTTCTCAGAGAAAGGGCCCCAATTCGTCCATGAAGCTTAGGAAGGGTGTGGCTGAACACTGAGGACAACGTTGATAATCCTTCTGTGAAATCAGGTTTCATTACCACAACTCCTCTGGGCTCAGGCCATATCTGCTGGCCTTAGATACACAGACTATATAGCCCACGCAGAACTGGGAGAGGTCTGCTGGCAAGCCCTCCCACCTCAACTTTTGGTGATCCTAGTAAAATACAGCAATCCCCAGAGGCGGCGACTCGGAGCTTTCTTAATAACCTGCCTGCCTGCTCCAAGGCCAGAGGGAAGCCAGGCTGCTGGAGAATTCACCCTCTGGACCTCTAGCCTGCCTTCTTGTTCACATCACCAGTGGATGGGGCAAGGCGTGCTCACTCATGGAGGCCCGAGTGCAATGAGGAGCTCTGGCCGTTCTGAACTTGTGGGATACGTGTTCAGGAATGAGGGTAGGAGAGATGGAAAACAGAATGAAGAAGACACAAGCAGGTCCTTCAGAAGCTTAGCGTTTTTCAGAGGAAATAGGACATGTACACAAGTGACCCAATCACACTCACACACACCCTAACCCAGTCAGCAAACTCATTAGTCAACAGAGCCAAATATCAACAGTACAACGATTGAAATTTCTTTTGAGAGCCAAATTTTTTAAACTTAAACTATATAGGTAGGTACATTGTTATTAACTTAATTAGGGTACTCCTAAGCTGGCCTTTGCTAAAAACGTCCTCAATCTGATTGAGGTACGTTTGCTGAGGTCGATCCCTTCCAACTCTCCCATCCACACTCGTCTTATATACTTGTTTCAGATAGACGAGTGTGGATGGGAGAGTTGGAAGGGGTCGACCTCAGCGAACGTACCTCAAAACAATGTATCTCCCCCGCACTGCGTATCCCATCACCCGACCGACCGACACCCCCCACTT